TACATATTTTATATATTATATATATTTTAATATATATATCAGTAGTATATATTTTTATCACACAGGGAAACAAAATGGTCAGTGATTCCCAGTGGCACAGACCAGACAACTGAAGAGTCAAGAAGACAACCAACTTCCAGCTCCTGCCTGTAAACCAGGGCATCACATTCCCTCCCTTCCCAGAAACAACTCTCGAGGTGGCCTCGTTCATGCTCCAGTGTTCTCTTCTTCTTCATTTTCCTGTAATTTTCCTCAGCCACAATATTATAGGGTTTATAATATTTTCCATTCAAGCACAGTGAAGATTGTAAACATGTGTCTCTCCCACTCTTAACACTGTAGGTTCCTCATCAGCAACATGGCAATAGCTGGGACTCATTAATGGAGCTGGTTAATAAAAATAGGGTGCAAGGGTCTCATCTCACAGGTCACCTCATCAGATTTTTCCAGCATGAGTTGGGATGTGAGGCATGGCACAGAGCTGTGTCCACCTGGCTGAACTTCTGTGCATGAAGCAATAGCCACGGTGGGAGGGCAAGGTACCCATCTGCCCAGATATTTTTTTTAAGTTCATTTAAACTCTTTTCCCTTTCTCCACCCAAATTCTCTCGATAAACTTCAGGATTGTGTAACAAGCAGCAATGAAGAGAAATAGTTACAAATTGTGCTTCAAATTTGGGTTTAATAATGATGGGTTCATGATAAACAAAAGCAAACAAAACTTTCATTATATGGGTTTTCATTAAATTATTTTGTTTCATTATAAATAAAAGCAAACAAAACTAAATAGGTTGGAGCTTCTACACCACTGATTAGCCAGGCTGGTGGTACACCTCGAGGGCTGCTCTCAGCTCTTGCTCTTGGCCTGAATCTACAAGCAGAAGAACTGAGGCCACATAAATTTTCTGATTGGTTGGAAAAATTTGGATACAGCCTCTGTTGGGCTGTATAAATAGAAAGCAAAGTATTTTAGACCTTTCACTTTGAAAGCAGAGCTCTGAAGGCAGATGAAATTGCACAGAGTCACAGCAGTCGTCCTCACGGTTGCCACCTCCAGCGGTGAGTTAGCAGAATTTTGATAAACATTGCTCCTTGTAACCTGCTCTCTTTTCCTTTCTCTTCTTTTTTTCTTTTTTCTTTTTTTCTTTTTTCTTTTTTTCTTTTTTTCAGTGAAGTGTGGCTCTAAGGATTTCAGAACTGACTTGTTCTCAGCCATTTTTTGATTTTGAAAATAACCCCCCTGTCATTGCATGGAGACCTCCCTGTAAAAGTCCCTTTTTAGGTATGGGGAAGAGTTGTGGCAAAAATTTGTGGAAGAAATAATGTTGATTGAATAAGAAAGACTCAGTGGAGGCATATCACTTACTAACAGCACGCTTGTTTTCTTAAAAGCCTTTTACTCAAAGATCATCCTGCTGAGCATAGAGTGTTCCCAGAGATGTTTCTGTGTTGAATGTCATCACCTTTGATGTCACAAAGAATACACAATTCATTAAAATAAATGAAGACTACCTAGAACAAAGGGTTCCTTCACTCCAGGAAGACATTAGAGATTTCCTGCACCCTTTTAGCACCAGATCTTCAGTGCCAACACATCGTTTCCCCCATTTGTGTGGGCTGAGCTCTTCACACACGCGAATAAACCTCTAACTCGTTTCTTGCTAGAGCATCCCATGGGAAAACCTCATCATTTTTGGGGAGAACAGGACTGTGAGAGGCTTGGAGAAGGTACCAAATCAGGGGTTGCCTTTCTGTCCTTCTCCCCTATAAATGTCTTCCCTCTCTCAGACATCTCCAGGGCCATAGGATCAGGGTGGGTTTGGCTGTGGGTGAGGATAGTGGGAGTCTGGAAGAAAAAACAAGAGGATGTTACTCTACTGGTTGCTACTTTGAAATACTATTATAGAAACACTGGCAGGTAGGAAATGGAATTAGTAAAAGGCAGATGAGAGCTTGGATTTTTGACTGGATCCCACTTTAGGGAACAGGAATGGACTGGGTGGGTCTCCCTCAGCCTTATTTTTTAGTTACAGTCCAGTATCCCAAGATCCCAGGTGGCTCAGGTCACCTTCCAGGCAGAGACATCCCATAGCTCCAGCCCCACGTCTGCCAGGTGAATGCAGCATATCTGCAATGGGAGAGGAGTGGGTCACTCCATGATGTCCCCCTCTAGATCTATTTCTTCTGCATTTTTGCTTTGAGGTTGCTGCTTTAAGAACCCTCAAACATAATCAGACAAAACATAAAAAAACGCCAAAAAACCCCAAACCCCCTGTTTCATTGCATTTCTAAAATTAACTTGCATTAAAAGATGAACAACTTTCCAGTTCCTGAAAGCCTGATCCATGGTTACAGCGAAGTCCAAAGGGGGCTTTGCTATTGATTAAACAACACAGACTGGGAAATCCACTTTCTAGCTTGTGGGTTTCATTTCTCCTCTTTTCTCCTTTTCTAGCTACTGCAGCACAATGAGCAAAGACCTGCTCAAGTCAACCTGCAAACAACATCAGAAGCTGCAACTCCAAGGACTGCAGTGGATACAACAGCCCCAGGTCCTGGGCTGGAATGGCAGGAGATGGTTGAGCTTGAAACTTTCTTAAAATAAAAATAAACTTTAAAAAAATGGGCAAGAGGAGGGTTTCCAGTTGGCAAGGTGCTCTGCTGTGGGCTAACCCACCTTGCTCTTCTTCAGAGGAGGGAGGAAGCACAGGGGACCGGACATGGTGTGTGAGGAGAGCTTGGTGGTGTACACACCCTTCGTGGGGAAGATCAACCAACAAGCCCTACGGAAACAGCAATGCCACCAACAACAGAGTCCAGCTTTCAGGGTCAGGTACCAGAGATGAAAGACGTGCATCTTGCAAAGCCTGATTGCAAAACACTCCAGTTCATTTACAGAGCTTTAAACTGAGCCAAAAATCATGAGCCCAACCCAAACTGCAGTGTGCTCGCACGTGAATCCAAGTGAAAACTGCAACTTGGAAATCTATTAAAGCAGGAGAATTGACTGAAAGGATTACAGCTTTTCACCTCTGCTAAAAAATTCAAAGGCTGAAGCAGGTCCCTTTGTGCTGTTTGGATAATTAAAGGAACAGCCTCTGACTTGCTCGTGCAGTTTTACCCACCTTAACCCCCTTCCCCACCCTCCTCCATGTTAATTTTTTTTACCTCTTCTCTCTTCTTGATCCTATAGAAGCATCACAGTGTTTTCTGTAACTTTTTCTGCTGCCGAATCTCTTATTTCATTTGTATTTTGCTACTGAACATTATGGGCTTTTAAGACATTTCTTAAGAGCAGCAGTTTCCCCTTCTTCTCTCTCCCCTGTTAACAAGATTCTGTGTTAAGTTGTCCTACATCAAACATGTCATGACCCCATCAAGAAGGGAGAGAAAATCAGCATCCTTCCACCCAGGTCTACCAAGGAATCACATCCCATGTCCATATCTAGAACTGTGACTTAACAGATCCTACTCCCAACCTGTACACCAGGGGCAAAGCCTTCAGCCCTCCACTTCTGTATTCATTATTTGCCTGGGCATAGGTAGTCACTTTAATAAAGTGGAAGCCACTGAGCCTCAAGCAGTTGTACCACCTAAAATGCATCCATGAACGAAATGCTGGTGGTTATCAGAAGATAAACATATATAACATGTATAACTCATGCTTTCAAGCTGTTACCTGCACATCACTGCACTCGTAGATGGAAGGTGAAGTGGTGGGGAAGGACAAGCACCTGGGAGGTGGTGGATCCTTGGACTGGTTTTGACTGGGATAGAGTTCATTTCCTTCATAGTAGCTGGCATGAGGATGGTTTGGATTTATGCTGGAAACAGTGTTGATAATTCAGGGATGGATTAGTTATTGCTGAGCAGTGCTTACAGAGCTTAATTAAAGTTATTATTATTTTATTTCAACTATTAAACTGTTTTTATCTCAACCCATGAGTTTTCTCACTCTTACCCTTCCAATTCTCTTCCCTCCATCCTGCTGCCAGGGGACTGAGCGAGCGGCTGTGTGGTATTCAGTTGCTGGCTGGGGTTAAACCATTACAACGTTCAATGCTCAGCAGCACAGCAGTGAGCTGTGCTGCAGCTCACTCATCTTGGACTTCTCTGCTCTCTTTGCATCCAAACACAAAGATTTCTTGAATAAGCCAGAAATTTCATTTGTTCTTGCATATGGAAAATCACATTATTAAAGGGCTGCTTCACTACAAATCGCTTTGAATTTCTTTGGTGCTGTCACAGAGTTTGGGCTGGGTTCTGCTTTTTTAATGCAGCTGGGGAGAAAACACCTGTATAAAGCTGAAAACTCAAACCTTTCCTGGGGCCCATGACCAAAATCTTACAACATTAATGAAGTAACTCATTCCTTTTCCCCAGGCTCCAGTGCCTTGGCACGCACAGGTTTTTTCTCATCCAAGTGAGGCATTTCTTTCCATTAGTAAATCAGCTGAAGACTTTCCCAGGACAACAAGCTCTTGTTAACAGGACAGGGCGTTTCAGGCCAAGGCTACCAACATGCTACTGGGAGTCTCAAGGGTCAAAGTGCTCTACAAGTGCTGCAGGCTCATGTATTCACTAACACAACTGCAGCCTCAGATAAGCAGGGAAGCTACTTCAGTGGGAGCTGTGTCATGTCCTGACAGCAGATTTGTTTCTTCTAAGAAACTACAGAAAGATATTTGCTACATCTGTGAAAAGTGCTTAACCTGCTGTGTCCCATTCACCTTCTCTAGGAGCCACTTTAATTTTGCTATGAATGAAAAATCAGTATGTCCATTTAAATACACAGCCCAAACCTGCACAGGCAGATAGCAACCAGACATTGAAGGAAGTTCAATACAATTGAGTTTGCTGTCAAAAAACCTTTTCCTTATACTGAAATCAGAAACACTACAGCAAAAGTCCTCAGTGTTCTCCAGTTTTGGCCAATTTTTTAACATTTTTGTCATTAAGCTAGTTGCCTGCAGAAAATAAATGCTCACATTTAAGTTTTACTTGGTTAAAATCCCAGGTTTTAACCCAATTCCCAACTTCTCACTTTTAAAAAGGGAAGGTGCCAATCAAGCCCCCACGTCTCCACGCAAAGCCTAACAAAAGACTGAGCTGACCTTGCTGACTGAGCAGGGCTCTGAGCCTCCAGCATTGGCTTTGCTCCTCTACAAGCAACTTTTTTACCTCTACCTTAATGACAGCAGCTCAGCACTTTTCTGGTCTGTCCCTACAGGCTGCTTTCACAAACTTTTTCAGGGAGCTATTATTTAATCTGAGTTTTTCCAGCTGTGCAGGGAGGTGCAATGCTTTGGTGCAGGGATGTAGGATGCTGCTGCAGGTGCCTGAGAGAGGTACAGGGCAAATCCTACAAATTCTTGGTTTAGCTGGTGCTATCACCCAGCAGCAGGGATGAAAAAGTAAATACTACTTTCTATTTTAGGTTACAGAGCAGCTGGGGCAAACAGTATAAGTAAATCCAGCTTTATCTTTTCAGTCTAGTAAAAAAATAACTGGCTGTAGAGGAAGGGAAAGTACAATTTGTAGCTGACCCTGGGAAGGAAATAAATATACAGTTCTAGAAATATTCAGGGTGAGGGGAAAGGGTGCTGGGGGAAGCAACAGGGACAACTAGGCTTTTCAGGAAAGAGTTGGCAAACTCAGGCCATGCAGAGTTGCTTTGTTTCTGCACCAGATCTGCAGGGACCCTTTTCCTTGCTATCCCTTTCATTTTATAAGATTGTACCACAAGGTCCCAGACTAACTGCCTAAGGCTGCAACCCAAATCGACACCCTACCCTTCTATTTCCCCGAGCATTAAAGGACTTTTGGAATATTAAGCCAGAGTTTTGTCCTCTCCATGAGATAGGACATAGGTAGCAAAAAGATTTTGCATTCTTCAATCCTCCTCATTAAAACCTGCCTAACTCAGGCTTAGCAAGTAGGTTAATAAAGGCAAAATAAATTCGAGGTGGAGTCTTCAATCAGAACGGTGCCTCAGCACAACTTCAGCTTCATCTCAGCAAAGAAAAAAAAGATTAAATACTCTGATCTCCTACATCTACTTAAAATGACATCCCCAACCACGCCTTTTGGCTGATCAGTTAGCGCAGCCTGCTGATTTTCCAGCGATACTACAATAAAAGCTGTGCACACAAAGACTGGTTAGTTGTTGAGGAAAATTCCTCTTGTCTCAGCCTTGTCAATGATGAGGATAAACAGCAAGTGCAATTTGCTTTATGCTCTGCCAGTTTGATTTTCACTATGAAATCCTCTGCTGCTAATTGCACAAGTAAATTCTTCTGTAGTTCATTTTAAAAACATATCCCATTTTATAATGATTAGCACAAAGAATATTATTTATTTTCAAGAGAAACAGCTTTTAAGGTTCTCTAATGGACCTGTTAGAATGTGTCCAGAGGAGGCCACCAGGATGATCCGAGGGCTGGAGCATCTCTGCTGTGAGGACAGGCTGAGAGAGTTGGGTCTGTTCAGCCTGGAGAAGAGAAGGCTCCGGGGAGATCTTATAGCGGCCTCCCAGTACCTGAAGGGGCTACAAGAAAGCTGGGGAGAGACTTTTTATGAGGGCAATTAATGATAGAACAAGGGGAAATGGCTTTAAACTGGAAGAGGGGAGGTTTAGATGAGATATTAGGAAGAAATTCTTTGCTGTGAGGGTGGTGAGACACTGGAACAGGTTGCCCAAGGAATTTGTGGCTGCTCCTCCCTGGAAGTGTTGAAGGCCAGGTTGGATGAGGCTTTGAGCAACCTGGTCTAGTGGAAGGTGTCCCTGCTGATGGTAGGGGGGTTGGAACTGGATGATCTTTAAGGTCCCTTCCAATCCTAACCATTCTATGATTCTATTATTCTGGACAGCATCAGGCTTAACTCATTCCTTGCCTCTTGATATTGGCCCAAACACCCGCATGAGAAGACACTGAAGGAACTTACACAGCCAGAAAAGTTATTAGCAACATAAAAGGGGTTAAATGGGGAACTCACACCATTCATGCAAGGGAAAGAAATCAACATTTCCCAAGTCAGCCCACCTGCTCTCAATGTACTCCTCACAGCATTGCTCCACTGGCTCCTCTCCAGCTCCTTGTCCGCTCCCACCGCAGGGAAGGAAATGGTGCAAGCGCAGCTCCCAGGGGCTGTGCAACCCCAGCCGCTTGTTCCATATCCTTCTGTTAGTCTGTGCTAAGAGGCCCCTTCGTGTCTTTCACAACTGCACCTACCAACTGTTATATTAACATCTCCATTGCCCAACACAGGAATCCCACCAACTTCGGTTCAGAGTTTCCTCATGCCCAAGGTGAGAGGTCTGCACCTTTCAGCTCACCCAGGAACGGTGGGGAACACACTAAGAAATCTCAACTGCAATATCATACACTTGAAAAATGTTTTATTAAGAATACTTTACCAGGGGTGCAGTAGATATATTAATGTAGCAAGTGACATGTTGACATGTTTTAGAAAGAAAAGAGGAAGATAAAATGCTGTTAAGATGTTTGATGGAGAAAATATAAAAAAAGTACACAGCTACCAGCAATTTGGAGTCAGCTCTGTAAGACAAATGAGATGGAAAAAATAGCAAAGAACAAGTAGCTTAGAGACATTTTATAAAATACCAGACTACAAAACAGGACTAGAAGAAAAGCTTCTGCAGTGCCTGAGCACTTATAACACAGTTGTACTTCTCTCCTTGTGCCTACCAGCTTGGCTGGCTTTACACCCAGCCTTTCCTTCACAAGACTTTGTAGAGTGGATTGAGGTGCTGCAAATCCTTCCTTGATAATATTATGAGCATGTGAGTTCACAAAAGTCTATAAAAACTTTTCAAGGCAGCTCTTCCCCAAGGAAAATTGATCTAATGAGATGTTTAACACTCTACTAGTGCAAACTGGCAGTCAGGAGTAAACCAGGAATAAAACCTGGTAAAGATCATTATTGCAGAAGCCCCACAGCCCCACAGCTGAGAATGGCCAGGTATCAACCAAATAGTCTTTATTTTTAAATAGTTTTGTTTCCAGTAGGGAAAAAAAGGTAGTATCAAGCCAGCCATGCTCAGAGGTACTTTGCTACCTCTATATTATGAAATCAACACTGAAAGATGCCACCCATGCCACCTCCCATGTTGATTGTCTCTGCCAAGGAGAGCTGAGGTGGGTTACTGAAAGCTTCTGCCAAATGAAGGTGAGAAAGCCTGGAAAGCTGCAAAGAACATTACAGAAGCTCTCTCAGCTTGTAGCAACAAAGGCTGTTTCTGGCAAGGGTCACTCAAACCCACAGACCCTGGTCTTGCAGTTCAAGGGTAAGCAGCATCCCCAAATCTTGAATATCCACTGAGTGCTCTTACCAGCACCTTGTATCATTTGTGAGCCTGCACTCCAATATATTGAGAAAATTACAACTAAAAGTCCCATCAAAACTAGGCTATATAATATTTCTGTAATTATTTGTTTGGTGGCTATGAGTGTGAAAAACAGCAGCTCTTTCAGGTAGGATGGGGGAGAAAGCAGCAGGGGTAAAATCAGCAAAGTCATATTGTAATAACCCCAGGGAAAGCTAAAAGATTGCTTGGAGGTTAAATATTGGCTGTAAAAAAAGCTTGGAACCACAAGTGAAGAATTTGTCTCCAGCTGCTTGTTCCCTGGAGATTTTCAGAAAACAAAATGTACAGACACACTTTGCAAAGGAGAACTCTGGCAGAAGGACAGCTGTTTCTCCTCTGAATAAAACCTGCAGGACTTCCAGAGGTTTCCATTAACTTGGACTATTTTAGATAGTTTACATGGAAGCTCCATGACTCATTTAAATTTCATATTAACTAAGACATGCCCATAAAAAAAAAAATCAAATGCTGTTCTGTAAGTAGTGCAGAGAAACTAAATGGAAGGAACAATTAAAAGAGACACTAATGAGCCTGCTTAATAGTACAGTAACCAAAATCAAGCAGGTACTAAATGAACCACTTTAAAACCTAGAATTTTTTAACACTTACCAGTGTTAGGTTATGATTGGACTTGATGATCTTAAAAGTCTTTTTCAATCTAGGCAGTTCTGGGATTCTGTGAACTCCATGTCAGTTACATGATGCAACTTGGGTTTGAAATTCTTCCTATCAGAACTTGTAGATGTTTTAATAATAATTTAGTTGTTAAAAACTAGGGTTTCAGTAAAAAGATTTAATGGATTTAAATCCAGACTAGGAGATAATTTCATCTGAACAGGAAAACCCTCATGTTTCTATGCAAAAGTATCTGCATTTCTTAGCCTAAGTAAATATTCATGCTACACCAAACATTATATCTTCATGCATTCTTTGTCACTCTGTTAAGAAGCTCTCATGGGCACGTACACTTGAACAAGCAGTGAGGGACAAACTGGTTACGTCCCCCATGGAGTTTTGCCCATCTTTTCCCTCCAATTCAATCCTCTGGACCATATTCTTGGTTCCCACCATTTTTGGCCTAAGTATGCCCTTGCTTCAGGAGTGGAAAGAAAAGGTGTTAAGAAACAGTTCAACCAGAGCTTCCTGAAATGTGGGATTGTTCATTTCCATCTGTTACTGTGTCCTAAGAGACCAGTTCTTTTATCCGTCTTTCCCAACCAACTCTAACAACTGTTAAGAGTTTGTAGACATCCTCAGTGCCTAATATGGCAACACAGTCTGCCCAGAGCAGTAATAATTTGCTCAAGACTGATTGGCCAAGACAACAGACCTGGGCTTTCAAAAACACATAAATACCCCAGGCAGCTACTGCTCAACGTCTTTGATTCGATCAAAGAACACCGGTGAAACAGCCACAAAATGCCGGCTCTCAGCCTGGTCGCTCTGGTCAGCTTGGTGTCCACTGGTGAGTTGAAATTGATATATTGTAGTTGGTCTTGACTGGTTTTAGGTAGACACTAAGAAATTCTTGAAATTTGCTCCAACATAAATAATGCTAAGGTTTTTCAGTTTAATTTTATGAAGAGTTACAGTGATGTGCACAATTATGACTATGGAATTGTGTGTGCATTTAGAGTCATCTTTTGAAGTGTTCAGAGTTTGCATGAAGAAAGTTAAAATACTTTGACTTATTTCACCAACTGATATTAAAAATAGTGGTAGCTTTGCTTTAAGTATCCTAAAATAAGACCTCTAGAAAAAGAGATCAAATCTATATAGCAAGTTGTACAATTATTTTTTTACCTCTAGTTTCATAGAATCATTTGGTTGGAAAAGACCTTTGAGATGATTGAGTCCAACTGTACCTATCTACTGCTAAACCGTATCTCTGAGATTCTAAAATTAGAAACACTCATGAGCCATTCTCACAGAATCACAGAATATCAGGGATTGGAAGGGACCTCAAAAGATCATCCAGCCCAATCCCCCTGCTGGAGCATGAACACCTCCACAATATTTAAGGAAGAAACCTCTCTCCTGGGGCAGAAGAGTCATGTCTTCGACTTCAAACACACTGTTTTGCAGCTTAACACTTTCTGTTGTATTGTACTAAGAACACGTTTGATTTTTCCCCATTTTCCTCTTTTGCATGTGAAGTTTTTGCCAACATACACCCACCTCAACAACAACACAGACACTGGGCACAGATCTGCAGCGGGAATCCCACCAACAGAATCCGGGGCTGCGATAGATACGGCTGTGGCCATTTCGGTGCCGACAGGTAACGCGGGAGGATATTGGGAGTCGGGAGCAGTGGGGTTTGCTGTTGCTTTCCTAAATAAAATGATCACACAGGAGAAAGAGGAGAGTTTAACCAGAGCTGACACTTAGAATGAGAGCAGAGTGTTGTCTGCAGGACCTCTTACTCATTTTTGGGATGTTAATTGGCAGTCTCACTGAAGTGCAGTCCTACCACCACTACTCACTGCTGCATGGGTGAAGAAGTGAGACCACTACATGAGTTAGAAGCCAGAGTAGTAAAGGAAAAGGAAAGTATTCCAAGGATTTGTGCCATTTGTTCTTGTTGCTTATAACCAGATATTTAACTAACATTCCACAGGAAGCGAAGTAGATGAATTTACACAAGCTAAAGGTCTGCCAGTATCATGGTCTTTAAGTAGGCAACTCATAACAGAACAGGTTATATTTCCCTGAAAAACACATTTATACATAGAATAACTCCTGTCATCCCTGTGTTTTCCTCTCATCTCCTCTCTCCATAGTGTTCATCCTCATCATACAACTTCTGCATTTCTAAATGAGAAAATGCCAAACATCTGTTTTACACCAGCACAGATGCATTTTGGGGTAGAAGAGAGGTACTTTTCTAAAACAGCTTGACATATCCCATGAAAATGAAAAATTTAAAAAAATTAGGAAAATTAAACTTCCACTTAAAATGTGAAATCTCATCCCCCTTTAAAGAAGGTCAGAGCAATATAAACACTTTGCAATAATAAAAGGTGGATCAAAGGCACTATTTCTTTCCAATTTCATTGCTGATGCAAAAATTGTGTTAGACAAGCTTCAGATATCGTACGGTGTTAACTGCTTGATCTATATACATCACATTAAACCTGGCAGACTTCTCTAATCACATCTTTCCATTTTCAGGCACAGTGGTAAAGGAAGGCACGGGGGCGGGGGTGGAAAGCACACGGGTGTGGATGTCATCTGTGCTGATGGAGCAACTGTGTACGCTCCTTTTGGCGGCCAGCTCTCCGGACCCATTCGCTTCTTTCATAATGGAAATGCCATTGATGATGGAGTCCAAATCAGAGGATCAGGCAAGTAATTAACAGCTCATTACATTGTCAGGCATGCACAAGTAATCATTTTCTTTTCTTGAGTAAGGTTTCTGCATCTCTTCGATTCAAGTAAAGCGTTGATTAATCTTACACCCTCTCTAGTTCCTACATGGAAGCACAACTAGGCTGGTGCTAAGAAATATCAGAAATCAGCACCAGCAGGATGTAGTCCTTTTCCTCTGCTTTCCTTGGAGAGAAGGGAGTTGAAAAACAGGGAGCAGAAAAACAACAGCACCAAATAATAATTAAAAAAAAATTAAAAAGAAGAAACTGTAAAAATAAAGTATCAGAAATATGCCCTCATTTCTTCTGAGAGGACATGTTCCGGTCCCTATTTCCAACTCCCTCTTTCCTTCCCTCTTTTCCATACCAATCCAAATAATTTTGGTTTCTGGATTGTTGGTACCTTGACTACATCTCTGCTTCGCTGTTCCAGTCTCCAGGAAGAGGCTAGCACAGAAGGTTTCTTGCTCACCCCAAGGAGAGATGCAGGTGATGTTTCCTGACCTCGATCTCCTCCCATCTCTCCCAGGTTACTGTGTGAAGCTCGTCTGTATTCATCCCATCCGATACCAAGGCCAAATCCGAAGAGGACAAGTCCTCGGGAGAATGCTGCCAATGCAAAGAGTGTTTCCTGGCATTACCTCTCACATCCACGTTGAGAACTGTGACCACTCTGATCCTACTCATCTACTTAAGCCTGGTAAAGAAAACAACAACAAAAACCCCCAGAATAAGTACTATAATGAATGAAAATTCTGTTATTAATTAATTTCAAATAAGGACAATAATATCAAACAGCAATAGCCCCCTCTGTCTTAGGTTCTCCTTGACAGCAGCATCCAAAATAAATATTACATTAATATAATTGATTATATTCTCATTATAAATTAAAATATAATTTATATTTTTATAAATTATAAATTTATAAATTATTATACATTTATATTATAAATACAGCATAGCAGAACTGTAGACAGCGTTACAGGATGGAGAATATACCAGCTTATCAAGTTGTATTTTTTGCCCCCCTCAAGACACAGAAGCATCAAGTATCAGCAATAAACCGAGTCAGAAAACTCTTCTGTTGGTTCCCTTTCAACCACTAGCAATTTTTTCAGTATCACATCTCAGCAGACTTTAGGATCACTCTTTGCAAATATAAATTTAAAGATTTTGATAGTCGTGTAGCAGAAGACTTGAGTTCAGTCACATTAGCCTGGGTGTAAAATAAGAAATAAAACTGAGTGTTTTTCCATCCCTCATATAACACTCCAAGAACCATGATCTCTGCATTTTTCTCTTTAAAGCATCTTCATAGAACCATGGAATGGTTTGGGTTGGAAGGGACCTTAAAGATCATCCAGTTCCAACCCCCCTGCCATCAGCAGGGACACCTTCCACTAGACCAGGTTGCTCAAAGCTTCATCCAACCTGGCCTTCAACACTTCCAGTGAAGAGCATCCACAACTTCCCTGTTCCAGTGTCTGACCACCCTCACAGTGAAGAACTTCTTCCTAATATCTAATCTAAACCTCCCCTCTTTCAGCTTAAACCCATTTCCCCTTGTTTTGTCATTAACTGCCCTTATGAAAAGTCCCTCCCCAGCTTTCTTGTAGGCCCCCTTCAGGTACTGGCCACTATATTCCTTATATGACCTAGCCCTACTCTAGAAACATTACAATCCAGTTCAAGGTGCACATTCTATTCACATCTCCTAAAAGAATGATGCATTTTGTGGAGGGAACATCCAACTACACACTTGGGATGTAATTCCAGTATGTTCCTGTCTAACTAAAATAAAAACAGAACCCGAGTTAACTTTGATGTGCTGTGTTTCTGTATTTCAAAGTTGTCCCACCATTCCCACAATACAAAGACAGCAGATGGGCAACATTGTGCTCCGGGAATCCTACAAACGAGATAAGAGGCTGCGATAGATACGGCTGCGGATACTACGGAGCTCCAAGGTACGATATCATTGGAACATGTGGGGTTTTTATTGCTCCTCCACTGAAATAGAGTTGAACTCTGTTTAAGCCATTTAAGAATCAGAGCTTTGAAAGTTTAGGTTGGATATGCAGAAACATTTTCACTACGTGGGGAATGCAGCACCAGAACAGGCTGTTCATGTTGTGCATAAAATCACCAGCTTATGACTCAGACTGAGCCCTGCCTGACCTGACCTGGTGTTGGGAACTGTCTTGACTTAAGTGGAAGGTTGGACACGATGTCCTCCACAGGTACCTGTCAACCAACATTTCTGTGACTCTACAGTTCTATTTAAAGGTTTGGAAGAAATACTTTTTTTTTTTTTCCTTTAATTTCCAAAACTGGAACTCTAATAGATCATCAACTCTACATGGTCCTACATCATCTACACCAAAAAAATTTTTAAAGATTCTTCAGTCAGCCAACTATGTCAACATTGTCTCAGGATAAAGAATCCATTTCCAGATCTCCTAGCATGCTAACTGATCTATCTCCATATAACATTACACCTGACAAGAGACTTCTCTAATTACGTTTTTGTTTTCAGATGCAATGGTAAAGGAAGACACACGGGTGTTAGACAAGCTTCAGATATCGTACGGTGTTAACTGCTTGATCTATATACATCACATTAAACCTGGCAGACTTCTCTAATCACATCTTTCCATTTTCAGGCACAGTGGTAAAGGAAGGCACGGGGGCGGGGGTGGAAAGCACACGGGTGTGGATGTCATCTGTGCTGATGGAGCAACTGTGTACGCTCCCTTTTCTGGCCAGCTCTCTGGACCTGTTAAATTCTTCCACAATGGAAATGCCATCGATGATGGAGTCCAAATCAGGGGATCAGGTAAACAGCTATTGCTCATTTAATATTTCTTTCTGTCTTGAGTTTCTATATGATGAATTACCAGCTAGACTAGTTAAGCAAAGTACATGTTTTACTGCATCTTCTATTTATTTGCATGCAGAACTTTCTGCTCCTGTTAGACTGCAAATTTAGGACACCCACTCTTAAATACAATGAGGTGAGATCTCAAATCCAGGACCTATTAGTTTTGTCTCTTCAATTCCTGAGGTTGAAGCCTAAATTACAGCAGAGGGAATGGTTTTTTTAAAAAAATGGGGATTTGGAGTTCTGTAGCATGTCTTCAAGCTCTTCTCTTTACTAAAGCAGGA